AAACAAATGACAGGAAGGTTTTTCTGTACGTTAGTCTGCGCTAATGCAGGCGAACGGTTTGCTAATCAGTCAGGAACTGGAAGGTTCCCTGTCTGTCAGAAAACTTAACACATCTGTTTGGGAAACATAAATAATATAAACCTAAAAGTTCCACCTAGAAATGGTCTGAAGTGGTGCTGTCTGTTCTGCACAGTATAGCTCTGTTGTGGCCTTACGAATGGGACGTGATCAGCAGACTCTTCATCGTTGACAAGCCCATAGCGATCCACTGTGTGAGTCAGAACGCCGCAGACGGCTCTACGGCGCAGTACACCACCGAGCCTGGTAGGTTTTACACTAAAAACTGCTTTTCTCTTTTACAGCTGGATTTGTTTTTCTTTTTAAGGAAATGCAGTGATGATCTAACTCATTTTAATAAAGTAAATAGCAGGTTTTATTTTAAATGAATTGTGACATAATTTCAAAGTAATGCACTTTGTCTCTTCGTAAATATTCTGTCCTCACCTGGCCAATTTCAAATAACTTTTATCTTTACATTTATTAAAAACAAACATGAGAGAATTTAAATTGAATTGAATTCAAACATTTTGAATAGAAAAATCTTCCTGGATGGGAAGAGAAAAGTCTTTAAACTTAGAAACAAAGTCCAGTGGATTGATTTTAACTTTTTTGGAATGACTGTAACCTGGATGACTGAGAATCTGAACCAGAACATGTCAGGTTAATCTTTCTTAAGACATATGATCATTTTCTTGAACTGTGTTCATCATTAGAGCTGTGCTGGGAGTGCAGAGAGAGCTTCCTGTTTCAGCAGCAGAGGGACCTTAGAGAGTACACCCAGGCAACCGTCTACATCCGCAAAGTCATCGAAGACAAAATGGTACGAAGCACAGAAAGTATAAAACGTCATCTCTTTGTTTTCAAAGGAAACAAAGATCTCTGTAAGATGTTTTTTCTCTATCTCCTCTGCGTAGGCGGGAAAAGACAGCGCCCCGGAGCTGAATGCCTGCAGCTCTGAAGCAGAAGAGGAGAGGGAGGAGCTTCCAAAGATGGATGGAGAGAAAGATCCAGACTTCAGTCAGGTAACATTGCTGCTGTTTTACTTCATCATTACTGTTAATTAACCCTTAAGCTCCCAGAGGGTCTTAGGAGCAACTTCCACCTGAAATGATGTATGTGAATTAAAGCAAGTACAGCTCCCAGTCCCAAGCTATTCATTGTTTGTATAACAGAATTTAAAAGTCTATTTGTATTTTTATGCCAGAAAGGCATTGAGGAATATTTTTCAGGTGGAACCGCTATTTTAAATGTCACCATGTCTGATTTATAGGTGATTAAAAAAAGAAAATATGAAAAATAAACACTGCAAAACACCATGGAAGCACATTAGAAACTCTGGATGACTTTATAGATCCGCATCTTGACTATAACTCAAACAAATTTGGACTGAATTAGTTGAAACATGTTTGTTCCATAAAAGGTTTTAGTGGGCAGTGAGCTAGGAGGAAATGGGATTTTAGCGCTGTGCAGAAATGCATTTTTCCACTCAT